TCTTCTATTAAACTTATTCAATTTGTTGTCTTTTGTTTGTAAGCTCGAAATAAATGATGTAAAACTGCAAATGGGGATTTTCAGTGATCGAACCGCGAAAAATCATTTACATTCAACATAAAAATAATTTTTAAAAACCAATCGATAGGATTTGATCTGTTTTTTTTCTTTGTTAGTGGTGGAGGGCAAACTATATACATTTCTCGTAGTCACGTCCATTTCCTATTTGTTTATGAGAAAAATTTGATGAGCCGGGAGCGGTAATTAGACCACCAAATGACGCTCGATAATGCAGTATACCTTTACGAATAGCCACCGCATAAATACATCGAATAATAATAATAATAATAATAATAATAATATTAATTAGTATTGATACGACAAGAGAAATTAAACTGTACTGTCGGGTTACAGAGTCTTATGCGTCCAACCTATATAATACCGCGAGCGTATATTATTTGTAATAAAATAAAATCAAAAACCGTACGAATACAAAAAAAAAGCAGTGACCCTCCGCAGAATATTATACGACGTCCCGTATAATGTGTATACTACATCGACAACAATATCGTAAAAAAGTTGTATTGTATAAATATATATATATATAGGCATTATTATTATTATTATTATCTTACAATATATATTACCTACATTATTGTTGTATATACAAAAATGTTTAATGTTTAGAACATTATTAATAACTGTACGTTGAAAAAACATATTTTCTTTGTAACAATTACCTATCATATTATGACTTACCAATAGTTTCCCGGACGATCACGGTCCTTTTTATACGACCGTAAAATATCATATAAAATTGTATATGTATTTAACCTATGTCCTATATTACTGTTTGTATTACTGTTATAATTTTGTTTTAACGGCGTTTATAGGAACTTGTTTTTTTTTCTCCGATTCGACATTTCCCCTAAGCCGTGCATATTGTATTATTTATATTACACATTTTGGTGCATTAGTTAAATAAATAAATCATTATTGCTCTTGATTTAATGACCGGCGAGATTTTAAAATTCGTACACAAAAATTAGCACCACGCATCCAACCCCGGAAGGGCTGCAGGATGGCATACTAGAACCTCTCCCCCCCCCCCATATAGCCCGAAAGATTTGTTTAATTCGATCGAAAATCGAGAGAAATATCGCCTTTTTGGAAAATGGTCAACCGAACATTGCCTGCGATGATCCGAGTACCAGGATATAGTGAGGACACCACATGACTTCACACTCGCCCCCAAAAAATTTTCGGGACGTTTCCCTCAAACGCCGTGAATCAGATAACCATAGCGTTACATCAAGTCCGAAACGCACTACAACACAGGCGTATAAATATACATAGGTGGTACTATAATATAATATGTATTATATTATTATAGCCATACCGACCGACCGCATTTAATTCTTTATCAGATTTCCGTTTATTTACCCCCCCCCCTAGCTCTCGTTCGACGATAAATTCGATTTCCTCCCGGCCGCTGTCGCTTTTCCACAATACAGTTGAACGCGCGTGATACAACATTCCCCCCCCCCCCGCCAATCGCGCCACAAGCAAGCGCGCCGCACACTAGTTCTCCGACCAGACCGTTTATTTTTATTTTTTGTTTTCCTTCGTCCCTTTGCCGTCTCCGAAAAGACCAGAAAAACGCGAAAAGTTTTGACCATAACTCAAAAAAAAAAAAAATACATTTCCCTGGGATATCATCGTGTTCCTTCGTTCTGCATTTCGAACGTTTTATTTCATTCCGTTTCGTTTGTACGTAACGGCGACATATTATATACGTATAATACATCTATATATATATATATATAAACACACCTACATGGCTACATATTATATTCTTCATCATTCCGTTCAGGCGTTTTTATTTCTCTCATATATTATATACATGTAACGGTTATAAACGGATTCGGTTTGGTTCGTACCGACCAGCGTATAATAATATGCGTGTTCGTTACCCGTCTTATTACACCATAGAATAACGCACATTTTAAGTAACGTAATAATTCTGTTTAAAATTGTTTCCATTTATGATTAAGGTATTTTAGCCAATTTCACTCGTCGTGAAACAACTGTATACGATAATCGTCGCCGGTCCATTGTTTCTAGTGGAAACGTTCAGATTTATAATCAATATTATAACAATTATTATATTTAAATACCCACACATGTCATAATGTGGTTATACATATTGTTGTTTTTTTTATTATTATTATTATTATTATTATTATTATTATCATCACCTGTTAGTGAAATATAATAGGTATTGTGTTAAATTTTTTTCCCGGCGTTTTATATATTATATATAGTATATTATATAAAATATAAAATTGTTATTATTGTTAATATGTACATATACATAGATTTAAAATATTAATACGATGACTTTGTTAAATAATTCTTGTTTCGGATTAGATTTTACGAACATTTCTAGTCAATTAATATCTACTTGAAAATGTGTTTGGAAAAAAATGTATAAAAAGGAATTCATTAAAACTTTTTATATATAGGAATAAAATATATAGTGTATGTATATTACACACACTATGGAAATGCCATAATATTCGTTAGTTTCATTGCAATTATAATTCGCAGCTGAATCGGAAACTCGTGTACGAGAATCAGGCGGAATAATATTATCATTCGCGGAAAACATGTAAGTATAATTTAGTATGCATATTTGTTCATGAAGTAAATAGAGGAAATTTGATTGATATAAATCGTGATGTCTATATTTAAAATAATTAAGCCTATACACCGTATGATACTTTTGCGTAATTTCCTTTTTTTTTAAATTAATTAATATATCCAGGTTTTCCAGGAGCTTATAGCTACACTAACGTGAATGGGCAACTATAAAATGAATAACAATTTTAAATCTCAATCCCCACAGAAAAAATCTATTAACTATAAGTACTCCGTGTAAAAAAAATCAACATATTTTACCAACCATGCCAATCCCTCGCAGACAATAGTAAAGAAATTAAAAATATACAGCAATCACAATCTAAATTCACTTATATTTATAAAAGAAAGCACACTCCACATAATATTATCATCTATACATAATATATTATGTAACTATTGTAACTTGAATGTAACATAGTGTGTAAACACAGCATAAAACAAAAATTATTTATGATTATGATATTAATATTTTATTTCACGACGATTAAACATGTTAAAATATTGTTGTTATACGCAGCAATGTAACTATAAATTGCCTACAAGTTGCGCCGGATAAGTCGGACAGCTGAGTATTGCTGACTTATACTACGTACGACTGCATACTACACAACAGTGGATAGAGGTATAGTATAAACAGATTATATGAAAATGTATTATACCTATATTATATTTCATTTAATCTGTGGTATAATTGTTAGTACATTTTAAATCAACGGTAAATCTCGGCACTCAATAAGGATACTGAAAGCACTGCAACAGTCGTAGATTTTTTTAGACGTCAGACTGTTTATTTTTAGATTTTGAGCAGAGCAATTAATGTATTGATTTAACAATGTTTTTTATTTACATTTTATGTGTACACGATTCATAGTATAAAAAATGCTTTGATTTTCAACTTCAATATCTTTTATGGCACATAGAAAAGTGAATCTATAGTTGATAAATCTATTTTTCCATCAATAATAATATATTATAATTTTGGAACCTTAAACAAGATCGTTTAAACTATTATTTATTAATATTACGAAAATATTATATTATAATTTTGGAACCTTAAACAAGATTTGTTTAACTATTATTTATTAATATTACGAAAAGAATAAAGGGAACATTATTATTTGCACACGCCACACTGGGATGTTCCAGTGGCGTAGCTGAGTGGGGAGTGGGTGAATGGCCACCTAATTGGAATATTTTATTGATGATGTTTTGAACACGGTTATAGCCTATATAGGCAATAAAATAATATAGTATTTAAATAGTACCCCCCAGCACCCCTTCATTGAGCTCCAACTACGCTACTGGGATGGTCGAGGTTACAAAACGAGTGCGGATTGATTAAACTCGCATTAAGTAGGTATAGTACATAACTATAATGTATACACATCATACTATCTAAAGCAATGAACCTTACCAATAAGGATTTGGATGTATGTATTAAAGGTTTTCAAGAAAAAATACGATAAAAATAATCGTAGAAAAATATTTATTATATTAACACAATTGCTGAGTTTTCAGTTTGTTGGTCGTATCTGATAAATAAATTGCAACGTAGCAAGTGTATACTTATATAATATATATGGGTAGATAGGAGGCAGGTATATACTTTTACAAAAGAAAATAATAACTTCTCCAAACTTACAAAAAATAATAATAATAATAAATCGAAAAATCAATAACAAGCAATATATAAATCCAAAGAATATTATACTGTCGTCCACACACATCACCACTTAATACATACAAATCATACAATATACAGTGCATTAAAATATTATTGATAATCGCGTTATTTACTATATAATATTATGTATGCAAGTATATCGTGTATATTATGTAATATACATTTACCTACCTATACAAAATGATGGAAACCATATGTTGCACGAATTTAATATAATAACGTATTATATAGGAATTTATTCGGGACGCAGTGTAACCGGGAAAACGTTTTCCAGAAGTGAATACGTTTCAGTTGTAAATTTCAAACCACCCCGCCGATGTGTATGATAATATACGGTAACGAGGCCAACAGCGGTATATACCGTGTATATAGTCATAAAAATAATATTTTTACGGTAAGGCGTGTACCACTATCTATATATAGGTAATGTAATCGAATTCGAAAATTCGAAATCACAACTAGCTACCGGTGGTGCGCATATTACAAAATAAATATAAAGGTATACATCGATGCATGCGCGTCGCCAGCTAGTATCGTTCGACGTGATGGTGAACAACAAACAACCCCATCTCTGCATACACGCATAACATACCTACTTACAGACACGGTTTATTTACAGTTCGATTAGATTCGTGTCGGCCGTTTTGCCGGCGTCGTGTTTGTGCCTGGGTGGAGGGAGTGGATCCGACGGCGGTGGGTTGAAAAATAAATCGCTATCGTCTTCATCCGCCACCGATCTTTTCGTCCGCCCAATTTTCTTCCCTTCTTCTGGATACATCAACAGCGGATCCTAAAGCAGTGAAACGTGATTTAGTTTTTGACGGCCAACACGTGTGTCACCTATTTAAATACGTCCACGTCAACAAAAAATCATTCATAGTAATATGTGATAGATACTAGATACATTTATATTTATTTTTGAATACAAAGGGGGTAAGAAGAAAAAACCTCAAACTTGTTGTGTTAACGACGTTACACTATTATTATAAATCTATACCACGGCATTTTAAGCTCTGCAATTAAGCGACAAAATTAGTCCGCAATGACGCTTTATTTTATTATAAGTTATAACCGTACCACGTATACGTGTTCATACGAGGTTTACAATAATATTTTATAACAGCTCAATCAACAACGAATGAATAAATACAATAAATACATAATACAAACTTACAAACCATCATCCCATTGAAAGGATTTAAATTCTAGTGTACAATTAGTTGTTGCGATTTAACTTAATTGTATTTCGAAAATTGAGCAAAAAAACATAATAGATAATATACCAACTATATTACACGTGCCATTTTAATGCACCTGTTTAACGACCTTTATCGGAAATTATAGACGTACCTATGAGGCGTGTTATATCTACTACTGCAACAATATTTTTATAATACTGACATTTATCAGTGGGCAGTGGCATTGGTGCATATAGGTACTCGTATTCAGCTATATATCGTGATGGCAATACATAATTTTGAGAATAATAGTTCCCCCGGGAGATAAATTTGTTTTGATTTTACTGCGGACGGCACTATTATAATGCAGTTTGTCGGGTGTTCGAATAAAAAAATGCTATATTTCTGCAATTACTAACTAGAAAATTGCCGACAGTCGACAGATAATAATAGGTACGTACTCTTCCAGTAAGCTCCACGATTTTTTTTTGTATCGACGTCATTCGGGTTCTCATATATTCATACCTGAAAAATAAACACTTATCAATCGTTGTGCCTAATCGTAATCAAAATATATCAAAATGACAAAATTATGAATGCAATAGTCTTGATTTTCTAATTTTTACTTGGAATTTGCCATCATTTAAATGTATTTTTGTATCATTATCGCCTATCAAAACCGCTAAAGACTAAATATCCACCCAAACCGCGATGATATACAATTTATATTTTTATTTTATTTATTGAAATTAAATTATTATAAACAGTAATAACATCAATGTTTAAACCCATAAATATTATCAGTTAACGCATAATATACCTACATATGTACTTTAATCAAAAAATATCTCGAAAAACATACCTATTATATTAATATTTAATAGTTTGATTTAAATTCAAAATAAGTTTACACGTAGGAAAATATTAATATTTTTTTCAAATTAGTTTAATATGTATATTATATTGTATATTTAACTATTATTGCTATTATTATCTCAAAATATTAATCGGTTCAGTTAGAGTTTGAGCTCTATATCTAGTTTTCTTTTCAAATTTTTATCAGTTGAATTTAAAATCTTAGTTTTGTAATTAAAAAATTAGGACACATTTAAATCCATATTTATACAAACACAATCGTTGAAGGTTGAACTCGCATTTTTAATTGGCTTATATTCTCGTGAGGGAAAAACGATAGTTTCATGTTAATGGCGAACGAGTTTGAATAAAGTAAAACATATAAGTATTGTTTTATCGTTGATCTTAAGAACACGGTTTTCATAAGGTAACATTCAGAAGTCCTACCTAAAAATCAGTACAGAAATCTTCCAACAATAAATTAAATGGTCTCTTGTATTTTTTTTTCTTTTTAGTGTATTAAAAATGGTGTTTGAAGTTGTTTTTCATAGCAAATAAGCCATTGAAACAAGAATGAAATGCCATTTACATAGCGATGTATTTGACCGAATAAAGTATAAACTTAATTTAAAATGTGTTCTTTAAATATGTCAGTAGGGTAACTTAAAGCAGTAAGCATTATATTAGAACTTTGAAGTTTCAATGCTATTTTAACTACATTGATATTATGAACAAGTGGGAAATTCTCAAAAGTTTTGGGAAAAACTGAGTGAAGTTTAGAATAAATTTAACCAGGAGCAGTTTATAATATGCAACATGTATATTTTTCATTTCATGATTTATCAAGAAAAAGTAATAGTATTAGTTAGATACATGTTTTTTTTATACATTAAAAATTATCAAGGTGTTTTATTTTATTTCTCTGATAAAAATATTGAAAATTAAATGGAGGTTCTTCGTAAGTGCAGTTCTTACAGAAATTTACAAATATTAAAAATAAAAGATTTTAGTTATTAATATTATTTATTTTAGTTATTTGAATGTAATTCAAAAAATATAAAATTTAGAAATTGCCACTTTTCACAATTACCAATATTATTATTTTGATAATATGCACAGTGAAATATCCAAAATATTTTACTAATTCAAAGCAATGTATACCAAAACAAACTATTCATGCCATTATACAGTACATCAGTACCATAGACCTTAAACTCATAGACGGAGCATTACAGTTCAACGGGGTTGGGTAGTGCGGTCCTTAGAAATATGTGTTACAGTGATATATATTTATATTATACAATTATACACAGTTTATTGCATCATCTACTGCACATGTGCATAGTACAATGGGTCCAGTCTAGCAGCACAGCCTGACAAGACTATACAAACTATACCCTTGCTCCGTCTATTATTATAAGGTCTACGATCAGTACTGAATTATAATTTACAAATTGAATGAAATTAAATAATATTTAAAATAATTAATTATTATTTATTATGCTGTTTTTAGAACATTGTTACTATGACATTCAATAACGAGGTACACTCGGAATCTACTATACAGCAGAGTTACTTTTTTAATATTTACCTCTTGAATAATAAACCAAATTGGAATTTCAACTTTGGTTTTAGTAATCGTAATTTGGCAACTAATAATAATAAGACATTTTTATTTTAGTAGACTATTACAGAATATAGCTTGAAATATTATTATACAATCATGAATCTACCCAATAAAACAAGTACAACTAATAAGACACTTACGTTGAGCTTTGAATACTTTTGATCCACTGATGAACGTGATCCTCAGACTGACTAGAAATAATATACTTTTTATCTGGTTCGTCTTTAAACGAAAGAGAAAATGAAAATAATGTTCCTGGCGTATTATTCTCAAGTCTTACAATAGAATTCTCCAAAACAAAAACACCAGCTGGCTAAGAACATATTAAACAAAAGATAATGAACAAAATTCATAAATATTAAATTAATAAGTAGGTAGAAATTGAATACAATATTTAATCTATTACAAATATTAAACTCAAGCCTGGATTAGAAGGGAGGGCCTCAATAGTTAGAATTTATTTAGGGGCCTCTGATTTGTCTATTACTTTTTTTGCTATAGGCTATAACTGCAAAAATCGCCTAAACAAAATCGATGATTATTTAGCAAGAAAAAAGCTTGTAAATTATAATTTTTAAATAAAGTGATACATTATTCATAATTTATACACTTAATACCTATTTATACTTAGTATAAGAGGTACCTAATATTAAATTTATTTATTATTAAATCGTTATTTTTTTTTTTCGTACAGGAGCTCATTTAAAACTTTGGCCTCTGGGACTCAAAATGTCTTAATCCGGGCTTGATGAAGCTACCTATTTAAAATTAATCAAACAATAAATGTTTTATTCTATTTACTTGATGTAAATCAACTTGCCCAAATCCATTTATTTTAAAGTAAAATAATAAGTTGTACTTGAGTCGAAACCATCTTTCCTTGAAACCTATAGTAAATTAAAAATTCATTTTTAAATACTTCATAGGTTTATGGACATAAAATATTAAAATGATTAGATTATTAATAGTAATAGAGCAATTTGTATTTATTTTTTTTTTGTTTTTGTATAGGTTATACAAAAAAAAGAGCACTATACATAAAGTCGGTAAACTGGGGGATAAACCATGAGTCTGCGATAATAATTAGAAATTACTTATTTTGTAAGTTTATTGAAAATACTAGACTACATAATTTTAGGTCATCCTTTGTTAATTTGTATGATAATAGTCAATACCTATACTGAGAATTGCTGTACATAGTAGTCGTTCAAGAATGGAAATATAATGCGTTTAATATTTTACATGAAAATAATTTAATATTAGGCATAATAAAATACTAATACATTTGTCTGAAATTAATGTTCAAAATTTGAATACAATCTGTTGATTTTAACTTTATAGTAAAAAAAAACTGTCACATAAACAGCAATACATTTCCTACATAATAGCCTACTTATACATAAAAAAAAAAACTAACATATAAGTAAAGTAAAGTGAAGTTTTATTTTATTAAATAATATTATTCCAAACAATTAACTGTTCTATATACAGTTATTACTACTACAATTAATAATTATTTGTATTAACAATAAAATGGTATCCAAACAAGGTATCTATTTCACATAAATGTTTAATACCTATAATTTAAAAAATATACCTGTTCTAATTAGTTGTATACTCTATTGTACCTGTTGTTTTGTTTGGGCCATTATATAATTATTATTTTATTTTATTCTATACATAGATAAATATATAATATATAATATATAGGTACCCAATGATAATTTCAAATTGTTTCACATAAATTATTATGTTTATATGATGGCATTAAATGGGTTACTCATACATGTCTGACCTATTTAAGATAAATTAAATTATATTATTAACTTGTTGAAATATAAATATCCATGGGTACAACTTTTTAATTGTCATCATAATTCATGATATGATAAAAGTAGTAATTTTATGGGTAAAGATTTGAAATTGTCATAGTAGTGATAAACGTAGCCACTTTAAATTCATATTGACACCAAACATATTTTGCACCTACTGATTGAATTTGCTGGGGTGTCCCTGCTAGGTAATAAAATTTTAATTTACATTTTAGGATTGATTTTATATAAGCTATTTAGTTAAATGAAGATGATAGTAAATTTTTTTCATTAAAATGTATTGTATTTATTTATTTAGTAATATGACAAAAATGGTCCTTTCAATGGAAATTAGATGATGCCCACTGATATACGTAATACTAAAATCTAATTTACATTCCAGAGGTAGGTCAATATAAAAAGTACATGGACAGTGATATTGTAGTAAAAGAGTTTATGGGTACACGCCTTAATCATTGTAAAAAATAACTTGGGGGGACTATACCTAACCTATGTACCAGAATTTTTGTTAAAGGTACACCTCGGGGTACACGCATAAATATAAAAATAGAAGGTGTGTATAAGCTGGTACCCTCCACTACACTACTGTACATGGACAGTCCAGTATACAAAAACACGCATTAACAGTGCACTCGGCACTTACTCAGGCGGTGACAATATTGTTTGCCGGGTTAATTAACAACCTACCTTTGGAAGCGTATCCGTTAGACATCTTTGCATAGGACATCCGGCCTTCAAGAACAGGATTCGAGTGACTGACGTGAATCATTTCTTTATTGTTGAATCGCATGTTAAATCTGTTATTTTCTTTTCGAGACTATTTATTCTATTGTGTTGAGATGATATAAAATATGTTTTTTTTTTTTTTATTGAAATACGTTCAGCACTTATGTTTTACAATTTAAGGCTTACTTGAGTGTCTGAGTCACAGTTAACCATAATTTTTAATAACAAATTTTCGTGTTCACTATTTACACAGTTGACTATTTTCTTTTTTGTTTAAACAAATACACTATAGACATCACAATTTACAGTTAATAATATTATTTAGGTAGTTAATGATATTATACAGTTTAAACTTTTAAATTTTATACACAATATTATTATGCTTGAATACCAAAACGCAATTAAAATGATAACAAATCAAAAATATTCATGATAAGCGATAAGGGAGGTATTAAAATCACATTAATAATAATAGCACAGACGATGATACCGTATCATGATAACGTAATCGGCCATTTTGCATGAATTTTTGGTCTTTTGGATTCGAATATTCGATGCATGCTCCACTACTCCACTCAACTCCAGCAGTCCGCCCCCACCAGGTAGTTCAAATGGATTTATATAATGTTTGATCCTCGTGAACAGAGATTGAAGGTGACTTTGTCCATGGTTTATTTTGCTATCTAAGTATGACAGCCTCCTCCCGTACCTATGTAATATAATATTATTCAATTATTAATTAAAATTTAGTAGAATAATTTGTATTTTACTTTTTGTTCAACTTTTTTCAAAACGGACTTTTCTTCCGGGATTCCTCAAAGGTATAGTCAATCTTCAACACTTATAGCATTAAAATAAACCTTACTATATGGTACATGATCTAAGAAATAAACATTATACCTATTATCACCTATTTATTTACTTGTATTTAAAATTTAAATGGTTATACCTATGCACGTTTTGGGCCAAAATTTAGACTTCAACTTGTAGATTGAAGTATGCTTAATTTTTATTATTAGTACGAATATCAACTCCTCCTCCTTTCTACACATTAACAATGTTTAGACCATAATTTATACATATTTAATAAGTAATAAAATAAACTAATAACTAATAACTCATGTCGATTTCCAATGATATGCTGTTGCATTGTTAAAAATTGGCCATTTGAAATTAGTCGCAATGATCTTTTCTTGTCTGTTTTGTTTGTTGATTCTGTAAGAATCGTCTTATTCATTATTATATCCGATTCAGTTATTAGATAACTGATATATAAAAACATACGTCAGGACAATGGTGGGCAAGTTAATGAAAATAATTAACTGTGGCAAGTTAAGTTAATTCAATTAAATTGCCTACAGTTAAGTTAATAGTTAACGAAGAAAAAAAATTAACTAGATAAGTTTAAAGTTAAGATAGAAATAAAATAAACTTATCTCGGTTAAAAAAAAGTTAATTTTTAAGGTACAATATTTTCAAGTCATAAACTACCCTACTATTTTGTTATACACAAACATTTACCAAGACATTTAACACTGTGTAAGAAATTAGATTATTATAATATATAATTCGAAAATAAATTACCAAAATCATAAAAAAAAGTCGACGAATCAGTATTGCCTAGTTGATTACGCATGACTTGAAAAGAAAATTAACTTAACTGCACAATAATGATAATTAACTATAAAAACTTAAGTTACAACTATAAAATTTTTAACTGAATAAGTTAGTAAGTTAAAAACAAAAATAATAAACTAGTTAAGTTAAAAAGTTAAAAAAAAAATTAATTTTTTAACAAGTTAATGCCCACCTTTGCGTCAGGATCAACAAACTTTCTTTTATCAAGAATAATTTTAACACTATTAATTTGTAAAATGTATAGGTAAATAGTAATTACATACACAAATGATTAAAAGAAAAAACATTTATTCCATATAGCATTTATAAAATTGATATTCGATGAAATTATATTCGTTGTCTTATAAGCTAATAAGTAAAATATGTTGTTCAAACCATTTAGAACAAGCATTTTATAGTGCCGGCTATGACTGATAGTTATAATATTTAACATTATGTTATACCTAATAAACTAATAAATATGGAACTAATTTATTTAAAGAAAAGAAATAAAAAATCATTTTTCCTAATCTAAGATATTCACATATCATTTATCTGAGATATGAACACTTGAGCTCAATATAATAGTATTAAATATGAGTATGGTTTTTCATTTATACTTTGATAAAAAAATAAAACCACTATTTGAATACAAAACAAAATAACAATTTTTCTTATCAGTATTTCATAACTTATGAATATTTTACATTTAAAATTGTAAACATTTAAATAGTAAATTTAACAACTCGTAAATGTTAGAAATGTATAGAACAAAATTAAAATATTAAACTAATTTTTTTCTTTCAATAACTAACAAAAATACCACCGAATCACAAAAACAATGTACTTAACAAGAAAAAATATTGTTGAAAAATAGTTATTAAAAATAAAATACTTGTTACTGAAAATAATACAGATTTGAGATTATGCTGAAGTTCATAACAATTAACCTTAGGACTAAATACCACAAAAATGTTATGAACATATACTTTTCAAACAATACCATGATTAAATCAAATTAATTTAATATACTATGCAGTCAATAGCCATATTATGAGCTTGGTTGTTTTGTACTTCTTATCCAATCGTCATGCAGTGATTTCATGTCATTAAGTGCCTCCGTAATACGGACGGCAAACCTACTTGAATCCTATAAAACAGCACAAAGCAATTAAAAACAAAACTAAAAGCTAAAAATTAAAAATTAAATGAACATACAGTGTGAGGAGAACTTTTTTTGCTCGAGATGTGGAAGAAAACCAGATTTTCTCCAGCTATTATGTAGCTGACACCATATCCATCATTGGCTACAGGGCCAAATCCACCACCAGCAGAAATGCAATTAGGATATTTTCTCAAGTCAAATTGGGTAGTCTGTCCATGTGGTGTTTGTGAAGTAGACAACCTCCATGGTTCACTCAATACTTTCTATAAATGAGAAAAATATTATAAATTAATTTAAATATTAATAAACTGCACAATTTATTAAATTTAGACATTCAATATTCACTGGAGACATAACTACAAAACTATGTTTGTGCTCTAAACACATCAACACAAATTGTACAGGACTATATAGTGCATGTTATGTATAAACTAAGTTTAATATTTCCCCAACAATTGTGCAATGGTTTTAAGTTTTAGTTACGTTTAAGAATGGTGATTCGACTTCCAAATACTTGGAAACCACATATAAACAAAACAAATGTCTGTCAATTCCTTTTCCACACATTGCATCTTGATAACCTCTTTGGTGAGTTGCACATGCTTCTCTCAATAGAGTAATACGCTTGTTCGTCTATAAATAAATTAGAAATTTGAATGTTTAAATGTAGAAATTTAATTGACGTATATCAACAGACAACAACTAACATCAACATTTGGATCCAACATCGATTTCACCCAAGTTGAAGATTCTAGAGTACAGGGTCTTACAGTTTCAGTTCTACCTTCCCTGTACAATCTAGTCATTGATGCTTCATACGTTAGACTAAACTTACCAGCATCCTATAAACATAAAATCAAATTATTATGTTAGATTTTTTGAATAAATTTATTTAGTATTATCATGTTATCAAAAAGTAATTATAAATTACTCTATAATATGCCAGTTGGAGTGCCATCTGAATAAAAGCATCTGGACTGACTTTAGCGGTTTTCATGAATCCCTTGCCATAATCACTGAATGCCAAAATACGCAAATCAATATCTTTTACTAAGGCTAATGAGACCTAAAATAGCAATAAATCATAATACACAGTTCCTTAACTCCCCAAACAAAATGTGTAAAAATTTTACTTGATATGATTTTTCAATAGCTTCTAACACTGGTTCCAAATTCCATTGAAGCCTTATAGGTTTTGGAGGTTCCAATTCAGGAGTACCTTTTGTGTGTCCGTTTTCTTGATATCTTTATGTTCGAGAAAATGAATACTATTAATTGATTTTATCAATACAATAGTATTATTATATTCATTGTGGTAAATATTATAAAGTATGTACTGTATAAATATTTTACACGCGTGATGTTTAATTTTGTCAGAATGCAATGATGTACCTATGATATTTAACCATAATCCGTTACTATTTTCATATATTATCAAAAATAAAGGAACCCATCCATAATTAAATTATAAACTAACTAAGTATAACAAATGTTATACAAGACACTGTGTGATTATTATTATTTTAATTTTTTTTATTGACTTAATACTAATTTATATAATGATTAATGAATAATTATGAATCGTGATAGTCAATAATAATTAATAATTATTAATAACTGAATATACTCAGATGAAAATAATTATTAAATATTAAAACATTACAACCACATTATTAATAGTTGTGATATAATAATTATGTAATTGGATGGCTTCTTACAAAATGAGTAATGTGTGTACAAATTAGAAAAAGGTAATGGATTAATTTATTTATTGTATGGATTATTACCCCACAACAAGATCTCCGCATAGAAAATGTTCCCATAAATGACCCATAACCGGTGCATCTGCCCTGTCATCAATGAAAACAACAACCAGTAATAAAATTAATAGAAGCTGAGTTATCTATTGCTTGTCTTAATCACAATATTTAGATAAATTGATGAAATTATTAATATGATAGTTCAATTATAATGTTTTGAATTTGTAGTTATGATAAAATAATCATTATGACATGCGTTTTTAATTTACCGTGACAAAGAATGTATTATTGTTGTTTCTTCAAAGAAGTACCATGTCCTTAAAAATAATTATGCAAATATTCCCAGCAAGCAAAATTATAAAATATCATACAAAAAAAATTTAGGCTTTATTACAGTGAAACTATGACCGATTAAGTTACCCAGATTTTTTTGCTTCATCAAAAATGATGAACTCCCAAAGATGAGACATAACCGCGGCATCAGCCCTGTAACAACGCTTGTTAAATGCAAATTCAAAACAATATTTGAAATTTTAATTAAACATTAAACGTTTAATTCAAACATTAAACGTTTAATTCAAACATTTACAAAACGTGATACAAACATACACAAAATTTCAATATTACTGTTCAAATAATAACACTATGAAACACTCACCACGAATGCTCAGCATTGAACCCCACCTAGAAAAGATATGAAAATTATTAATTCGTTTAAAATCGTAACATTATTATTTATTTATTATGCAATATATTTATGAATAAACATTACTCTTCCATTTGATCCAATACATAAAGTAAATGATTTATCAAACCAACGGTCATATCCTTTGCCAGTCATTAATATTCTTCCAAATTCGTCCAACTTTTTTGAATTTTCCTAAATTAAAAATAATGTATTTTAATACTAGATGAGCATGAGTAAACCATAAGTAAAATAATAAGCCTTTTCCAATTTAAAAATATACAATAATATTATATCCTCTTACTGTATAATTATATTTTAATGTATCATAATCGAAACCATATTGTATACCTTATCATTTGTATTAAAGTACTGTTTAAATTGGGCTAAAGCCCGTTATTATATATTAAATAAATAAATAAAATGGTCACTTAATATTAACTACTTACAGGGTCATATTCATATGGAACCTCATCTAATGTAACCACAAAAGCAGCTTTCTCAATGGCATCTAAGCTTTGTCTATTTATGCCCTTAAAAAAATATTGAGTGCGCGTATTTGCCCAATGTGTTCGGTCAGCAGCAGTCAAAGCAGCTACTTTTTCTTCTCCAACATATGGTTTCTCTGTGTTATCGAGAATTGATTGTATTTGTCTGAATTATCAAATAAATATATAAATATTTTTTTTAGAATATTACAAAAATTAAATTTAAAAAAAAAATATTTACTCTTCAATTTCACAAGGATGAAGTATACGATTTTGACTATAGATAATCACTTTAAAATACCGTCCAGCATGATACACTACAATGTGTCTACTATCGTTATAGTGAACAATTTTATCACTCACAGCACCAGGAACACGTGTTGTATTGAATATCCTTTCATATTGCCATGAACACAGAGGAACCAATCCTTGAACTCTTATCTACATAGTATAAATATTAATAAGTATAATATATTGTACTATATTTTTAACAGGTAAATTTTTTAATACCGGTTCAAGTTCTTGACGTTCAATCAGTCTTCTATACTGCAAACACTGCCAAATTATCATGGCAGCGCGAGCAGCTTGAATAGATGTTGAATGTAACATTATAGCATCAGTACCATAAAAATTTGAATTAACTATTAAAGGTGTTCGACTTCTTAAATACACATATTCTTCCCACCAATCTGATACATAATTACTCGACCACCTATTAAAATCAATAGTTCATCAATTATTTTTATTTTTTGTAATTGGTCAATATTTTATATTTTTATCACAGGTATAAATATAATACTTAAAGACAGATTAATTTTCACCATTATAACAAGAAAATCTATTACACTAAATAATAATCATTACACCAATAAAATAATATTTATTTAAATTTAAATACATAGTTCTAGATTTCTAACAGTAATATTTATATTTTTTTAAATGCAATAATTTAAAGGAACTGAGTAAGAAGAATAGTATTTTAAATAAATTTTACTATTTCTAAAAAACTAGAAAAAACTTTTATGATTATTATTCATTGATCATTATACTAAACTACTACTTTTTTAGTAATAAAATATTGCAAGTTACTAATTTTATTTTGTTTGATAAATTTATAATATTTAACATTTAGAGTGTGACAGATATAGCAGACAAATGTAATTAACTATTATGCAATATAATATTTTGTATCAATACTTAGTATTTTTTTGTTACTACACAATCATTATCAATAATCCAATACATAATTAAAAAAAAAAAATTATATAACAATAAATAAAAGATAAAAAATAAATAAATAGTTGTTAAAAGTTGTTAATTATTAGATATTAACAGGACTCGGAATTTGTAGTAAATGCATATTTTTTTTTGTAAGCCTTAGAACATCCAAAGTAAGATACAAATTTGTTTCACACTTCCCTGATCTTGTATAAAACATTTTATTTTGCTAATTTTGCATATTTATAGTGTTTAGTGCTATTTATAGAGCATATCTTGGCGTTGTAAAATGCATATTATTGAAGCGCTAAAAAATAACTTCCAAGCCCTGGTTATTACATATACTCTTATAGTATACAGAGTATAGTTAGTTAATTATATCTGTCAGTTCTTTCTGATACACCCTAAATGTATAAGTCTAAAAGATATAACTAAGTTTATTCTAACTAAAAGAATATTTGTCCATAGTATTAACAGTAAATGTATAGTGTTTCTTCAAAGTGACACATTTATGGAATAGATTCTGAAAACCAATGTCTAGGGAATAAAAGTGAATTAAATTTCTCATAAAATGTTATCTATAAATAACTAAACACAAGCAAAAAATTTAAAAGGGACTTTTCTGATTTCTCAGTAATATAAAAACTATAAAATGTAAGCAAACCCAATTTTAACAAAATTCTTGAACATATTTAGGTTAACTCAACTACATTCACTCTTTTAGAAAACAATATTGTATCATAGCTTTTCAATTATAATGAATAATATGACACTAACTAGCACTGAGCTTAACATTTATAGACAAGTACCCATCATTCACCACTCGTTTGTATTCTGATTTAATCCACTTTTTTAACATTTTAATGGTATCAAATAAAATTGAGGTCATTTTTAAGAACTTTCATAATGGTTATAAAACAATTATTATATAATTATGTAATTATATAATGATTTAACTAATAAAATGTATACCTTAAAAGAAATAAAATTCAGTAAATCATAATTAAAATTAGGTAATAGTAAAATATAATTTAAATGACTCATAACATTTTAAGATAAATAAATATAAAATAAATACCATGATTTCAACCACAGATATCGCTGAAGCTTGACTGCTATACCATCTTCGAATTCATTTGCTAGCTTTATCATACTTTCAAATTCTGAATCGTTCATTAATGGACGGACACTTTTTAAATACTGTAATAAAATACAATATTAAAAATAATAACTAAAGAATTATATATGCTACTATATATTAGTTATTTAAAATACTTACTCTTTTCATAGTTTGATTAACTGGAGGCAATGGAAGTTTTGGTAATGAACCTTGATAGCTGTAAAGTAATGGTTTACTTTTTGAAGAAAGTAATTTTACACCTAAGCCCCAAAGTTTGGTTTGTAAAGACACTTTATTTCCTCCTCTGCTTTCATACATCCAACCTGAATAAGCAAATATGTGAATAATAAATTAATATATAATATGTCTCACATTATGATTTAAAATAATTACCTTTATACATTAACATGATCTTAAATGTGTACCTTACCATGTAAATCAATATTAACCAAAAAATTAAAGATAAAATAAAACAAGATACTATTTGCCATATATAAGATGTCCTAAAAATAATAAACATAATGATTATAAATTCTATTCAATTATAGAATACAAATTACAATTCACTTACCCCGGCAAATATTGCAATATTATGTCTGTATATTTAATAAAAGTATTATTGGCATAACGAAGAGCAAGCACAATACCCATCATAGCCCAAAGACTTTGCAATGGAGCTGGAAAAACTCCATTGCGTACATTGTTCTAAAATAATTTCAAGATTAAAATTAATGATTAAAAACAATTTTAATCTTAAAACATAATTTATATCTTTGCTATAAATATTAAAATATTAAACATACCTTAAACCTGGCTAAACGCTTTTTCCATGAACGAATTCCAGATGCCCAAACTAAATGGAGCACTTCACGATCAAAATTAACATCCCAACCTTCATGGGTGATTGAAAATGAAAATGCAACTGCCGAATGAGCTTCAGCCATGATACTTAAAAATCTAAAAAGGAAATTTAAAAATTTTGAAATATTATTAAAAGCACGAATATACAATTATTATATTTTTCATATGCCCTACTATAGTTATATTATAATATTCAAATCAATCAAGAATTTATCCATCCACAAAAATGTATTAGGTATTAAATAGTAAATATACTCCACTAAGCTACATTATTGTCACATTTTATTCTTTAATAAAATTAACTAAAATTAGATGTATATATAAAAAATTAATTTTTTAACAATAAAAACAAGGTAATCAACTCAAACCAGATGAACCAAACTTGAATTTGGTTTAGCATGCCTACTATGCTAGCCTTGTAGTTTTATCAAGGTTTTTTTCTGTTTATAGTTTATTTAAGTGTACAATGTTGAATGTACAATCATTTTACTTCCTCGAAAATGAAAAAAAAATTGTAAACCATCATGTTTATTAGGGATTTAGGTAATACTTCTACACCTGTTTTATATTAAAATATATTATTCAATACCTTATATAATTAATAATATTTAACTCTAATATATTTTATAAGAATAAAACATTGCTTATAATATTAATTTTTAATACCTACATTTACTTTTTTTTTTAAATTTCTTACTTCAACAATATTTTATTTTTACATAAGGAGTTGCATAATTCACCAATATAGTAATATCTACTATATTATGCAATACATAATGTATCCTTTATCAATTAAAGAATAGAATGAAAATAACATTATATTTTTGCTTACTTAGGTACCTAAAAGCATTGAGTATACTATCTATTTAATAAATGTTTTATATAATATATAGTATAAGCGAACTTTCGTTATGCAAACCCTATATTATCCGAACTAAATTTAGCGTATTCAAACGTTATCTGAAGTTTCACTAACTTTGGTGTAGAAAAGCTCTTAGCAGCTTTTCGTCAAATTAAAATCGATAATTTTGTCAAAAAAAATATCACAAACATATACCTATGTTTGTTATAATAATACATAATAATTAATAATATATTATAATATATATAAAATTGTATGTTTAAAAAAAAATTGTTTTTTGTAAGTATTTGAACTTTTGCATATCCGGACTAGGTGCAGTCCTATTTAGTTCGGATAATCGAGGTTCTACTGTATATATCAAATAGTTTTTAAAGTTTCTCACAAAGAAAACAAAATAAGTTTTCAATGCATAAATTTAATTTTAATTTTAAGCTGTTACTGAATCAATTTAAGAATAAGTACCTAAGAAAAAATACTTAAAAAGTACCTACTTCTCAAAAATATGAATAATAACTAAACAAACTGTTTATTCTTTTTCTGTGCATTATTGCCAATAAACTATTCCAGAGATATTTAACACAATAGTTTGAATGAAGCAAAATTTAACTGACCTTTGCAAGCTACCAATTTGTATTAAATTATTATATAAAGCTAGCTTATTTTAGTTGTTCATAATTTTACTATAAAATATTCTCTTTAAGCGATAATCTTATTATGTATAGTAATAGAAATGTAGAGAAATTCTACATGGAAAAAATTAAAACCTGGTTGAAAATAAACTGGTTAACAAAAATACCAAATAGTGACATTTCAAATTATAAATAATTCAAGATAATTAGAAAACAAACCTAAGTTAATGAGTAATCTATAAAAACTGAAAACAGTAGAGCATAATATTTTATTACCATAAAATAGGTCACCTGAATGTTATGTGTTTTATGACAAACAGAATTTTAAATTATTAACAACCTCCAACTGGATTTAATGCTATGCAAATTAATTTGGTTTAGGAAAAACAATTGGCGTAACATGTAAATGTTATAAATATGTCATATGAATTATGCTTGCATTTTAATTAAATAATACAAGTTAATTGATGATAATTTAAATAAAATATAGTGACATTGATGTTCTAAAATAGTAAATAAAATTAAAAATAATTAATTTAATTGATCTACACAAAATGTATTTTAAAACATGTAATTTTATAATATTTTACTTGTATACAATATACAAGTATCTACCTTTTATTTTTTTAATCAATATAAATTAATATACGAGTATCTACCTATAAGTTTTAGTTCAATTGAATGCCAACCACGGTGAAAATAATATGTAGGCAAAGAAATAAATTTGTTCAAAACCAAAAAATTAATACAATTTAAATATAAATACAATAATAAAGTTATAAAAAAGTAAATTAAATGATAAATGTAATTCTTAAGATTTTTCTGAATCAAATAGACGAGCAACAATCACTAATAAGCATTATTATTTATACTCGCCTGCTCAGTAACTAAAATAATAGTCCGTTTAAGCATTAGTCCAGTCATTTAATTCGAAAATTTTGGATTTATTATAATACTGAGACACGCACAAGGCTCTAAGGTTTCAAGTTGAGATGTTGGTGAAATATTGTGCGAAAAATAATTACCCCGAAACGTATTCACAGCACGTCAGGAGGTTCAATCGCTCGACGCAACCGTGTTTAAATCACCATTGAAACGTATTTTGGTTTGTTTGTTTTCTTCTGTCTGTCTCTCTTCTAATATAAAACGAAAAAACGGAGAAACGAACGAAAAAGTGAAAGTAAAGACAATATTAATAATAATAGTAAATCCCAGTCGAGCGGACGTCAAACAGGGACGGTCAAGACAACGACGACGAACAGAAGCGTCTGAAATACTGAGTAGCGATAGCGTAATAGCGAATTCCGAATACTGAAATAATTATTGATGTCTGCTGACTGATACTCGTCCGATTGTTCTAGTCTCATAACAATAATAAATAATAATAGACTTACCCGAAAATAAAAAAAAAACGCAAGATAGCAGTTATCACAATATCACATATCAGCACGGTTATAGATAGTACTATCTTGAACCGTGCAAATACGGTGCGTATTCAGTAATGGCACAGAATAGATGAAATTTCATCTAATCTGTGGTAATAGTTTTCCAAATCACTGTGACCCTATAATATTTATCACGGCCTATACACGACTGGATATACTGGACTGGACACGACAAGGTTGGAGGGTGTAAGGGGTTGACCACGAGATGTGGTACAAAAGGCGGAGGGGGGAAAAGTTGGGGGGAAATTTTCCTTTTAGCATTACTTGCGCTGTCCTAGTGGATACTAATGGAACTAAAAATTTGTATGATATTGTGTTCTCGTGTCCCAGACGAGCCTACAAATGCCATAGTTTCGGTGGCAAGTATTACTGTTGCGGAGCCACTGTTGTTCATGCATTAATTCGATATCTACGTGTGTGATAAGATAACATTTAAATAATTACCGCGTGAATTTAAATATTATAATCATTATTATTAATACAAGTAAATAATAAAATTGAGTATTGTAATTTTTATATCCAAATCTAAATTATTATACTTATAACAAAAAATGTAAGAATGATAATTCTAACATGTCCTACGAAAAAAAAAAAATAATAATTTATTAAACTTTATCTAATACGTCCTACAAAAATATAATACAACATAAAATTAATATAATTAATTTTAATTAAATATTGTTTGTTACTTTTTTTTTACAGTTCATTACCCGAACATAATTCATAATAATTAATAATTCAAATTTATCTTTAATGCTATTGCTAAAAAATCCTAAAATTAAGGAAATTTAGTTTTATTTATTTGCCTTGTTTTTTGGCACCACAAAAGACATATTATACAAAATAATTAATACTATACGTATATTACTTATACTTTTAATAATGTTATGACATTTATACACTAGCAACAAAATAAATACCTGCAGGCTGCAGCATTAATGTTCAGATACTAAATACTACAGTATTAACAGTAATACAAATTGTGTAGGTCGATATATGGTGGTAATAATAATACGACCCATATTCGAAGTGACAGTGTGACACTTGATTATAATAAAGATCATTGATATTAAACTATTAAAGATACAATTATATACAACGCGGGAATTCCTATACATGGACAATGTATATAGATAAAGTTTAATAAATTATTATTATTATTTTTTTTTTTTGTAGGACGTGTATTCTAACACGTATTCTAATTATTGTATTTTTTTTTTTTTTGGTATAAGTATAATAATTTAGATTTAGGATATAAAAATTACAATACTCAATTTTATTATTTACTTATATTAATAATAATGATTATATTATTATAATATTTAAATTCACGCGGTAATTATTTGAATGTTATCTTATCACCGACGTAGATATCGAATAAATACATGAACAACAGTGGCTCCGCAACAGTAATACTTACCACCGGATCTATGGCATTTGTAGGCTCGTGTGTCCCAGTCCTGTATATCTATAATAGCGTTTTCCACCAGCTGCACAAAGGCTCTACTAGCGAACACTGATACCATAATCACACACTATCACATGATTTTCCACACAGCCGAAATTCACGGTGTCGACTGTCGGCCAGACAGTGTACACTAGTGCAGTCAGATGGAAAACGCTATTGGTCTGTGATATTTATTGTTGGTGAATTCTTCAATTATACTTCAATTCATACCATGAAGACTAGATTATACTATAAAAAAAAAATAGTTTATACGATTGTACGTCATTGTCTATGATAGACTACCTTTGGGACTTGGGCACGGATTAATCCGTGGACTTGGGGCATGGGACGATCATGGTTGGTGTAATTATTCGGTATTCCAATGATATTTGTAGCGCACTAGCGTTATCTATGTGAAACAGAACAACTTACATTTTAGATTCTGAGTGAAACGATGAATGTATTGATTTTACAATGATGTGTGTTTTTTTTTTTATTTTTTTTTTTATTTTATTTTTTATTTTTTTTGTGTCTGTGTACACGATAAGTAGTCGAAATAATGCTTCGATTTTCGACTTCAGTATCTTGTTCGATTGGAAAGTGAATATCGTTGGTGCATTGGGGAGGTCAAAATTTAAATTTCCCAGTAGTTTTCAAGAGCGCCGGGAAAAACAAAAGAAAAATTAAGGAAAAACGGGAA